TGCCTTATTAACTGTTGTTGAGCATACTGAACCTACTTGTTTTTCACAGGCCACTAAGCATCCTGAATGGCGTGACGCCATGACTGAAGAGATCAATGCACTCCTCAAAAATCACACATGGTCTTTGGTTCCTTCCTCTTCGTCTCAGAACTTGGTTGTGTGCAAGTGGGTTTTTCGAATTAAGCGTCACTCTGACGGCTCCATTGAACGCTACAAAGCTCGTCTAGTTGCCAAGGGTTTTCATCAATGTCCGGGCATAGACTATGAGGAAACCTTCAGTCCTGTTGTCAAGCCTGCCACCATTCGCATTGTTCTCAGTCTTGCAGTTTCTCGTGGTTGGTCCCTTCGTCAACTTGACGTCAAAAATGCCTTTCTCCATGGGTTTCTTCAAGAAGATGTCTACATGGCTCAACCCCCTGGTTTCATTGATCCCACTCGTCCTTCTTATGTTTGCAAGCTCCACAAGGCACTCTATGGCCTCAAACAAGCACCTCGTGGTTGGTTCCATCGCATCAATACTTTCCTTCTCTCTATAGGTTTTACATGGAGCCAAGCTGACACTTCATTATTTATTTTTCAACAGGCATCCCATACCATCTTTCTTCTTCTATATGTCGACAACATCGTGGTAACTGGCAGTGATTCCACTCATCTCCAACAATTCATCTCTCTTTTAGGTGGCCACTTTGACATCGAAGACCTTGGTCCGCTTAGCTATTTCTTGGGTTTACAGGTTCTTCGTAAGGATGGTACTCTCCACATCAATCAACTCAAATATGCACATGATCTTTTACAGAAAGCCAATCTTCTCAACTCTAAACTAGCATCTACTCCATTGGTTGCCAAGGTTCTCCTCTCTGTCTCAGATGGTGCTCTCATCTCCAACCCAACCGAGTATCGCGAGCTTGTTGGCAGTTTACAGTATCTCACACTTACTCGCCCTGACATATCCTTTGCCGTCAACACTATGGCCCAGTTCATGAGTGCCCCTCGCACCTCTCACCTTGTTGCCGCCAAACGGATCCTTAGGTACATCAAGGGCATTATTGACCTTGGCCTCACCTTCACTCCTCAAACTGCAACCGCTCGCCTCTCTGCCTGCTCTGATGCGGATTGGGCTGGGTGCCCTGATTCTCGTCGGTCAACCACTGGATATGTGATTACTCTTGGAACTAACCTCATCTCATGGTGTTCCAAGAAACAGCCCACAGTCTCGCGCTCTAGTACAGAGTCGGAATATCGTGCCCTCTATCATGCTTGTGCCGAAACCACTTGGATATGCTCCCTTCTTCATGAATTGGGTGTGCGTCTTCGGTTCCCAGTCCAACTCTTTTGTGACAATCTCAGCACCACGTACATGGTTGCCAATCCAGTTTTCCATGCTCGCACACGTCACATTGAGTTGGACTATCACTATGTCCGTGAAAAGGTTGCTCTTGGAAGTCATCAAGTTTGCTTTATTCCTTCTGTCGACCAACTTGCGGACTTGTTCACCAAAGCTCTTCACAGAAGTCAACTTCACAATCTCCTCATAGCAATTAGCCTTTCCTGCTGTAAATTGAATTGTATTCATGTCTATATTATTTCCTACCTTAAGTAGATATCCTGTACTAGCATAAATAGGGACTTTGTGTAATCTATCAAATACAAGGAAATATATTTTCTACATAATCAATTTTCAATCTTCTTTTTGTTGCAGAGAAGGTTGGTCTCAGTTCCATGGCAGTTGAACTTATAAACTCATGAGCACCTATACAGCTTTTGGCTTACAAGGTTTAAAGTTTACACCCAAGTTCTACCCTTTTCCACCCACCGAAATGTCACTTGAGCTAGGGTTGATGGACAAGATACCTATACAGTTTTACTTAAAGAGTTCTTGAGCTAAACTAATTTATACTCAAGTTCAATTCCTTTTATGATTACGTATGTTCACATTGAAAACTCTTCATCCTCCAGTGTTGATCTGGTGATCGGGATTGACCATCTCCCCAAATGAGCAGTATAGTTTATGCACCGAATAACGCCTCTGCCATTAGGACCATCAGGAAAATCAATGACAGTGATGCTTCCTGCATCAAGATGAAATGATCCCAGCCATTCCTTTGTCAAATTCAGGCAGTGCCCCATCAAAGCTATGTGCAATGCCGGATGACCAACTGCAACAACAACTTTTTCTGGCTTAGCTTCATCAGCTACTTCATTTAGCAGAGACTGCCAGGCCTTCTCAGATTGCTCCCACACAGCTCCCGTGGCTTTATCCTCAAATTCATTCAGCCAACCAGGCCGAAGAGGTGGAATCTCCGTTTTACCCTGCAGAAAGAGACGAGAAAGTATGGGTAACCATGCACGCTGAAAACAAAATTATTAGACTAGCATGTTTACCTAGCCTTATGGACTTTCTTACACTAAATAAGAAAGAGTTGGCAACAGGCTCCCAGCCATTCCTTTGTCAAATTCAGGCAGTGCCCCATCAAAGCTATGTGCAATGCCGGATGACCAACTGCAACAACAACTTTTTCTGGCTTAGCTTCATCAGCTACTTCATTTAGCAGAGACTGCCAGGCCTTCTCAGATTGCTCCCACACAGCTCCCGTGGCTTTATCCTCAAATTCATTCAGCCAACCAGGCCGAAGAGGTGGAATCTCCGTTTTACCCTGCAGAAAGAGACGAGAAAGTACGGGTAACCATGCACGCTGAAAAACAAAATTATTCGACTAGCATGTTTAACTAGCCTTATGGACTTTCTTACACTAAATAAGAAAGAGTTGGCAACAGGCATGTTTGATGCTATGTGGTCTATTCTTTTATTCTGTTGGGTTCTGATCATACAATTGTCCATGTCAGTTCAGCTCGGTTTAGGTTACTGCGGAGAACTGAAGCCAAAATTGAAGAATAACAAAACATATCATTGTTTTAGTTGACCTCATTCCCCAAAAACTGATGAGAGGACAAAGATATTAAGATTGGCCAAGGCTGATAAGATGCCAAAATATTTTTAAATTTCCTACAACACCCCTGGGATTTAAACAAGAAACAGAAATTCAAGTATGCCAAGTTTTAGATGTCTTGCCTCAGATGACTGCTGAAGAATGTCTTCAACATCAAGGTTCTCCATCTGTTTCATCTCCACATAGCGTGGCACACAGTCAACACCCAAGCAATCTGCAGCTTCTTGCACCTACAATTGCGTTAAGCACTTAACTCTGCAGCAAAAACTCTTTTATACAGAGGATTTAATCTCCAATTTGACATACTGAGTTGAGAACATCAAGGATGAGCTTACTTTGGAGATGACAGTTGCTGTTTCAACACAAGCTTTCTTTGGACTGCTAACTATAGAACTCACTTTCAAATCAAGCAGTAGCTCTGCAGTTTTCTGGGACTGTAATGTATCCGCCGAGAGAACATCAAATTCAGATCATATGACAATTTTATATGGAAATGTGAAAAGATAAAAAAGTATATGCTGTACCTTTATAATCCCAAGCATGTCCATTGGTTGATCACCAGCCGAAGGAAAACCAGTCTGTTATCCATTGAAGGTGATAATTTAGAAACACAATATCTGTAACTATTTCCAGATACTGTTCAGAATGCACAAATTTGTATGATTATCTGAACTAGGAAAATTCTAGAGTCATGAATTTCGGTATGGCGCATCTCAAAATGATAAACCCCCATATATGAGCTACTATATGTTTCTTTATAGGTTCTGAACTATTGATTTTGCACTAGTTCAAATCAAAAATTGTCATTTAGACGTGTGAAGTTAGTACTCAGGAGCATTATAGATCTTATTATTTCCTCATTGTTCACCAGTCCAGCCAGAGTGAAGACAACTCAAACAAGAGCTCATAATTCCCCAAAAATTGCAAAGAGAATCAAAGGAATGCATAGCTTGACGGTTTTCCTTGACAATCCAACCAAATTATACTCAAACAAACCATTGATGAAAGAAGTGAGAATAATATAAACAAAAATTTCACAAGGAACTTTCAAATTATCTCCTCATACCTCTGCATTGCTCTGTGTGGATCCATGACAAACAAGTATGATCCGGTTGCTTGCTTTCCTTCCTCCTGAACTTCCAGCAGCAACAGGTGAACTTGGGGTCTGCATTAATAATGCAATACCATTTAGAGGACAGCATATCCAATTACACAACCTACATAACAACAAAACCTTCATGAACCACATAAATAAACTTAAACAACACAGAGAGTGAGCGAGAGAGAGAGAGAGAGATATATATATATATATATATATATTTTTTTTGAGATGTTTTATCTCGATTCTTCTGGCTCAAACCAGCAGTATATTCCCTAGTAAATAACATAATAGAGAAAGTAATCTTCTTCTTTTTTTCCGTGAAGATTCCCTATACCTGGTTCAGGCGATTGAGGCAAATATATGGTGATCCACCCTCAGCTCGTGGCATGAAGTCCAGCACACTTACACCACAATTGCTCTGAACTAAAGTCCTAAAATACTCAGTTCCCAGTCCTGATTTTTCAAAGGGAAAAAATTATGTTCAGAAGACATTTCAGGTACATCTGCAAAAATTAGAATAGAGAGAAAGGGAAAGTACCAATGGCTGTTGCAACAAGAGCCTGATTAACAGCATTATGAGCAACCACAAGAACCGACCTGCTTTCATGCAAAAGTATTCTGGTCCAGCAGCTCCTAGCGCGTGCCCATAACTCTCTCACTGGATAATGACCATCAATATTAAAGTTTGCGGCATCTACCTGCCATTGATGAAAAGCTGCACCAAACTTTGCTTTTCCCTCATGCTTTAAGAGCCCCTAAAATCAGAATAGTATAGCAATCATAAGGCTATCTCCACCTCATTTTGTGTCTAACTCGTGCTGATAAAATTCAAAAATTAAATGTGGAAGGAACATAGCAAATGGAACTCACTTGAAATGCATACAAGTCGATTTCCCTCAAATCAGAGTCCATAAGCATTTCCTCTTTGCGAGTGCCCCATATAATTTCTGCTGTTCTCTTTGACCGTGTCAGGGGACTGCAACATGCATTGCATTTTGGCAGGAATGAAATGCAAAAGAACATGTCTTAATAAGTGACAGTTAATAACTTTAAACTAAACTAATAGAATTTGCAAATGCTTTCATGAATTTTTCTAGGCAGAGTGATATATTTGGTATAAGCTAAAACATGGATTAGTGGGAATGCTTGAGAATGTCGGGCCATTAAACTTTGTATTTTTATCAGCAACACTGACCCTCCCTTGTGGTGGTGTTGCCTCTCACACCACGAGAGACCACAACATATAGAATTCAATACAAATCGGAAGGTTGCAGTTTCAGGGATTCGAAAACAAAAACAAAACAATGCTGTAGAATGTGGAAAACAGTTATTTTATACACTAAACTAGAACAACTGGGATAAGCCCTTTGAACAATACAGCCTATTTGGCTCGACAACTCTAGTTTAGTACGATATCTATTTTCGTTAAGGCCGGACATGAGCAAGCCTTAATCAGGAGAAGTTGCAAGAGGAAGTGATGCATACACTGTCCTCCTATATGCCAAGGCCCCAGGAAATGCTATCTTTCAATTGGATTTTGGGTTCATGATCATGGAAAAAGTTATTACCTAATTTCATACTGAAAATTCCACTTCACACAACACTGATGCACACTTATTATAACTTCATAGACTTTTGCCCATTTGACACCTAACACCCCAATCATAACATTTAGTAATTATCAAGATAATTAATGATTAATTAGTTAATTAGTTAATTTAATTAAAACAAACCTCAGATAAGTAAGTAGCTTGAAAGTCAAAATTCTTAAGAATTTACCAAGGGAAATCGCAGAAGCGAACCTGGTGAAGCAGACTTCGAAAGAATCATCAACGAGCATGAGCCGGGAAGTCTCGGCCTGAGCCTCGCCTTTCTTGGTGAGCACAGAGAAATTGGAGCTCCCCTGGATCCTACCTTCCTCGTTCCACGTGCTCTGCCCGTGCCTAACCAGCACCACCCTCTTCGCGGCCTTCACCGCCGGGAACGGCACCGACGCGTGGAGCTCGGAGCTCAGCTCTCTCTCCTCCGAGGACTTGCGGACCTCCTGCACGCCCGAACCCGCAGAGCATCGGATCCTGGAGGGGCTGCTAGGGCTCGGCGGCGTCGTGCGAGTTCGAATTGGGAAGACGAAGAAGGCGGTAGAGTTTGTGTGGAGAACGAGAGAGGCAGTGGGAGTGAGGGAAATCATAAGTTGGAATTTTGAAGCCTTTTTTTGTTGTGTGTGTTTTCTGATCCTTTTTTTGTGTTTTGGTTGTTTGGCGCTAAGAGTTTCGGAAAAATCAGTTGAACGGCCGTTTTGTATGGTTACCGTTGTTTCTGTGGGTCATCGCCACGGAAGGAGGGAGATGGTAATATAATGACGCGTGGCATTATTATATATCTTTGTATGAACCAGCTATTTTTTATTTTACTTTTTGAAAATATGAAATAAAATTAAGGGCGCAATCCAAACTTAATATGCAAATACCACTTTTATCCATACATTTT